CTAGCAATGTTTTGAATCGTTCGTACCCCTGAGAAAACTTCCCTGAAGCCCAACGCCTTTTTCTCCATTGATTTCCTGCGATTTTCTTTAAGCTTTAATTCAATATTGTCTTTCATTTTTAGTTCATTTTCATTTAAGCATTAGAATATCCGTTTTTATCATTTTTAGTTATTTTCGTTAAGTTTAGTTATTACGTCATTTAATTTCCGTATTCTCTTTTAATATTTCGTTTTTACATTTTAAAGACACCACCAAACCCCCATTAAACCGTTTAGTTCTAGACTTCCTTACTTAACTTATTTTCAAAGGCTTTTTGCAGTAAAAGATCCTCCTTCCATGTGGATTCGATCCCTAAGTACTACAATTGATCAGCTGTGCACTTGCGGCTATCGATTTCAATTAGGGTAAAACTTGACACCCTCGACACCACCATCAGGGAGTAAGTTGTTGATTAGATGATTTGTCTGTTGAATGTTGTGTAATCTGGGGAATTTGAATGCAACTAATGCAATTATTCAGCACAAAATGTGAAGTAATATATAGGTGCACTGAAACCGTTATTCACAGTTGATTGATATTGACTGTATATGATCTTTATTATTGTTTATGATTCTGGTTTGTTGCTGTAGCAAAGGAGGTTTTGCACAGGAAGAACAAGAGAGGCTTGGGGGCCGAATACTAACGTGGTAATAGTTGAAACACTCAGGCTCGAGGAATAGCGATTTGGCTAATGAGAGAGGTAAAGAAAATGTTTTATATCAAGGGACACAAATAGCTTTCTCAAAAAAAAAAAAAAAAAAGAGGTTCGCAGATAGTGTATTTAACTATTGATATAGGCATGGTCTAAATATCAACTCTCATTGGTCTCTACAGATAATGTAATAATCCCCAAGGAATGCTTTGTGGTTCTTTTTCTCTCCGTAGCGCGTTTAGACTATAGCTATTACAAGTCAATGTCGGGGTAAATGATGAAGATGAGGCTGATGACGGTAGTGAAGTAGTTTTTTGATCAAAGGTAGTGAAGTAGTGGTATTTGATTTTTTAAACTTATTTTACATCAACATATATAAATAACGTTGGTATAGCTCTGTTATTTTGGTTATGAATGTGATTACCATGTATAGTTTTAAAAATTTCAGGTTATAGACTAGATGTAGTGTCTCTTATGTTTCATGGATCGATCTTTTTAATAAGTGTTGTGGGAGAGTAAGTTGCAATCTATTTTGACTCTTTCTTTGGGTTTGATCACGAAGAGAATGAATATATAGTGTATGGTAAGTTCATTCTAGCTTATTCATAGTATACAGATACAGTCCAACTTTGTATTCTGAGGGACTCAAGTACTGGCTCATGTTTTGACTGCTGAAGGTGTATGCATTTTAGGGTTTAGGGTTTAAGATTTATGTTTCATGGATCGATCTTTTTAACAAGTGTTGTGGGAGAGTAAGTTGCAATCTATTTTGACTCTTTCTTTGGGTTTGATCACGAAGAGAATGAATATATAGTGTATGGTAAGTTCATTCTAGCTTATTCATAGTATACAGATACAGTCCAACTTTGTATTCTGAGAGACTCGAGTTACTGGCTCATGTTTTGACTACTGAAGGTGTATGCATTTTAGGGTTTAGGGTTTAGGAAATTAGGTAATATGGATACACAGAATAACAAAGAATGATGAAGATAAGGATATAAGGAAGTTAAAGAAGAAGAAGAAATCTGAAAGATGACAGAAAAAAAAAAGATGAATAATTAAAAAATCAAAAGATGATGTAAAGAAACTATAAGAAGATGAATATGAGGAATACAAATTCATATAAGATAAAGAAATATGGGAAGTAAACAGAAAACCAAAAAAAGAAGGAATTCAGATAATAAAAGACGAAGAATTACCAAAAAGTAAAGAAGAATACACAGATTAAGTCGAAATAGAAGAAAATGAATACATACACGAGGTAAGTAAAAATAATAGAAAGAAGACAAATAAGAAGAAGAAGTAGAAGACGATCAAGAGGAAGCTGATAAACAAAAATAAAAGATAAAGATAATGAGAAAGAAGAAAAAGACGAAGTTGACTAAGAGGTATTTTAGAAAATACAAAGACCAAGAAGTTGAAGATGAGGAAGGAGACCGAAAGATGAAGATGACAAAGTATGAGAATATGAAGATAAGAAAGGATGCTAAAATAAAAAAGAATAATATAAGTACGAAAAAAGAAAAATAATATGAATCAGGGAATGTGGATAGCATGAAATAACGAAGAATAATAAGCATAAAAAGATGAGGAAGTTGAAGAAAAATGAGAAAAAGCGGGAAGATGAAGAAAACGAAGTATACAAAAATAAAATTGAAGGATGATGTAGATAAAGTATAAGAAGGTGAAGATGAGGTATATGAATTTAAATAAGATAAAGAATATAAAAAAGATGAGAAGAAAAATTGGAAGAATAAAAAATAAGCAGAAAAGTTAGAGAATACGATTATGGTGAAAATGATGAAATTGAAGAGGTAAAATACGAGGAAGTAAAAAATCTGAAAGATTAAGAAGAATAAGCAAATAAAGACGAAGTATAAGTGAAAGAATACATAGTCAAGATAAATAAGAATAAGATAAATTAAAAGAAAAAATGAAGAAAATCAGAAGGAAAAAAAGGAAGAAGTTGAAGAAGACAAGAGGATAAAGAACAAGTAGAAGTTGAAGTTGAAGACGAGGAAGAGGAAGATGAAAAATATGAAAGATCAAGAATATGAATTAATAATATATATCCACATACAAAGATAATAAAGATGAATATATATCCGCATACAAAGCTAATAAAGATGAATTTTTAAAATACAAGGACAAAGACGTTGAAGCTGAGAAAAGAGACCAGAAGATGAAAATCACAAAGTATAAGAATGTGAAGATAAATAAAAATGCTAAATAAAACCAAAAGAATAAGAAGACGAAAAGAAGACAAATACGATGAACTATAGAAGATCGATAACACAAAATAAAAAAATAATAAAAATAAAAGGATGAGGAAGTTGAAGAAGAAGAGAAAACCGGAAGATGAAGAAAAAAAGTAGACAAAAAAGAAAATCAGAAGTGATGTAGATTAAGTACAAAAATATGAAGATGAGTGATAAATAAGACAAAGAATATAAAAAAAAAAAAAGAAGAGTAGTAAAAATTGAAAAAAATTAAAGATGAAAAAGAAACTAGAGAATACGATAATAGTAATGATGAAAAAAATAAAGAAAATATGATTGGTAAATGTGGTTTAATATTTACTTTATTTGAAAATACTGATAGTTTTTTATTTATTTAATATATCGTATTAATGATTGCATACTTTAATATTATCTAAAACTATGAATAGATTGAAAGAAACATATTATATTTATTTAAACTATATGTGGATATATATTATTTAGACTAATATACATAATAATTTCATATTTCCATTTCCACTTTGAGAACATATATATACAATTGATTATAATGAAAATTTTGAATCAAAAGTTTACATAAGTTTTTATAAAAAATTTAAAAAACTGTATGACAGCGCATGGTATGAAAAATGAAAGTAATTGTACAAGCTAATTATTTATAAATTCAATTTATAATTTTGAATGTAATTTTAAAACTATTAAAAATAATTATCTATAATAATTCTTTCATATAATTAAAAGATTTTAAAATTCAGAATAATGGAAAATAAATAAATTTAAAATTAGGTTTGCTGTTTAACTAGAGAGAAAAAAAGTCAAACAAAAATGTCAAACGTTTATCACCTTACATATTCAAAATAAAAGAAAACAGAAAATGAATTTGATAGATTCAATGACTAAGAAAAATATATGAGTGATAAAAAAAGTAGTCATCTTCAATTCTGTTAAAATCATTTGTGTAGTCTAGCCTGCAAGAACAAGATAAATAATGAATCGAACATTCAACCATTTCATTTAGAAAATTTACAAAATGATACCGGTAAACAATGCTTACATAAAATGAGAATTTTCGACTTCAGAAATTGGAGGATCAAAGAGAATTCTCGGCCAGAACAAACACGTATTTCATCTGCACAAATTGGAAAATTATATTAGCTACAATTGATATACGTTGATATGGTTGATCGCGAGAATGAGAAATCACCTCCATATTGACACATCTCCCAAAATCTCAATACACAGAAAACAATTTTGCGACGAGGGCTGTTTTTCCATAGAGATTCAAAATGTTCAGATTCTATGCCTCACGTTATGCAATTGATGTCAAGACCCCTAAAAACCAGAATTAAGATGTCATTTTCCTTAATATCGAGAATACGGTAGTAAAGGGTTATATATGTATTAGTCTTTATTGTCTTAAATAATTTATATATTATGTTTGTGAATATTTTATCATGTTTATCACTGACATTAAACTCTCTGATTTTACTAATTTGTAGCGGTCGTCGTTTACAAGTGCATTTAGATGGTGATCACTCGGAATTTTTTTAAGAATCTCTACTTAATTGCAAACAACCTATTGTCATCTGCGTTTTAAGATTTGTAAAGGTGATCCAAGTGCATGACATCTGGATTGTTACAACAGCCTTCAAATGTAGTAAAGTTTTGATTCATCCTCCATTCCCCGAAGTTCACCGATTCAATAAGGTTATTTTAGAGACTTAGACATAGAGCATTTTTTCTGAAGGAATATTTATTAAATTTTGTTTCGTTTATTATATAAAATACCATTTTTCTATATTTGATTAATATTAATGGTATAATTTCATTTTATTATTGTAAATAAGTGTTGTTCATCTTAAAAAATGATATATACTGAAAGTTTAACAAGAAATATTATACAGTTTAACTATTATCCATAAACTCAAATATAAAAATATTATACGACTTCTTAAATATATAAAGTCCGTGCTTGGCGCGGGCAGTCACCTAGTTAATCATAAACATATTAAAAATTGCAATTTCCATGAATTGAAAATTTAAAAGATAACCCTCATAGAAAATGGGAGAAAGAAACTTTAATGTCGCTAAGTTTATAAAATTACAATTGGTAAGCTAAAACTTTCAGAGATGCAGCTCATGCGGTATATACCAATTGGTCATTAACATGAGTCCTCAATAGCGTCGCGGGTTCGAAGCCATATTAAACCTCCCGATTCATTTTTTTTGGGTTCTTCTCTAATTTTCCTCTTAACCTCAATTTCACGGCCAGATTCGCCGTCGTTACTATCCCTTTCCACTTTGAATCTCACTCTCGCTCTCCTCTCCGGTAAAATTCCACCGCTTCTACCTTTACAGCTCTCGGATTCTGAATTCACCGGCAAAATTTCACGGCCAATAACGGAATCGGAGTTCTCCCACAAGTGATCGGATGTTTCCTTCGTACAGCGCTCGAGGAAGAAGATAGATTCCGGGAAAGGCGGAAGCCAGGCTGGGACGGACGGCGATCGCGGCGTTTGTGTAAAATTCCTTCCCGGCGATCCGTCGATTTCCGGCCTCGGTAACGGCTTGGCGAAAGGGATTTCGGAGACGGAGGTGACGAAATCAGAGAGGTTACGGAGGACAGCGGATTTGATTAGGCAGTGTGATTCGGTGTCGTGCAGCGTTGAGCCGCCGGGAAAACAATCGGAAGTGGATAAAGAGATATCTTGAAGACCATTGACGATGTCGAAGAGGTTAGCCTCGGTGCGATTAGCGATGTTTGCGAACGACGCGGCGAGTCCGGCGAGAGATTGTAAGAATTTGGTGGTGATTATGGTTAGAGTATCTAGAGCGGAGGAATCGGTGGATCTGTATCCGACGGATAGGCAGATTTGGCTGACGGCGACTCTGGTGAGAGAGAAGGAGAACTCCGTCGTCGTCGTCGCTGATTGGTCGGGTACTTCAAATTCTACTCTTGATTTACGCCGCCGCTTCATTGGTGGTTGGAGATTTTGAGAGGATCGAGAGAAGGAGGCGAATTGAAATTGATATTAGAGTTTTAGACGGATTTTAAAAGAACCCTAAATTCGTAGCATTCGAACCTGTGCCGCCTTGGTTAATAGTTTTTAATCAGCACGAGCGAACCACGAACCCAATGTATGGCTCTTGTTGTCATTCCGCGCAAATAAACAAATTAAAGGGAAAAGAAATAGAAATTGTAAACAAGTATCCATCTAATTAAAAATGTTACAATTTGATTAACACCATCTATATTTTATTACTCTCCCTCTTTTTGAAAAAAATGAAAACATTTTAATTTTGAGCATATACAGTTTACAGTAGTTATTAACTTATCGAATCTTATAAAAAAATTTTACTGTATTGAATCATAGTTTATTATACGTTGATAATAAATTTTTCAAGCTTCTATTTTAATTTTTTTTAAAAAAATATCTGGCCAAATTAGCTCAGTAAGAAACAAATATCTAATAAGTATTCTCAATCTGTCTCCATAGCAACTTTTTAAATAAACAAATTTCTCTACCATTTAAGTTTGGGGAACAACTATTAGAGTTGGATTTCATATATCAAATTTGACCATGAAGCTCATTAACGAGCCCAATAAATCAATCTAGAAACATATAAAAGGATGCACCAAAGATGAACTTATAAGGTTATTAATTTCCAAGATTCGTAGATCAGGTGATCAGTTAAGGTACTGGTTTGAATCGATATGCAATAATATTAGTAAGTGAATTAAGCATCATCATCCAGAATCTGAAACCATAATTATAGAACCAAAATAACTGAACTTCTCTTCTATCATAAGGCGAAGATATCTCTCAGAAATTCATGACTAGTTTAAAATTCAACAATTTTCTTTCTTTATACTTTTGAAGGAGTAGGAGTTTATGGTCTAGGACATTTTCCAAATTCATTACAATCGAGAGAAGTAGGAGAATGATCAGGTTTGGGACATTGGCAATTACATTTGTCACCAAGGAGATTAACAAAACAACCATTCCTCAGGGGACAGTCTTTGTTGGCTTCTTTGCACTGCCTTAACAATGACATTTGCACTGCTAAAGTCATCTCCGAAGGCTCTCCACTGTCCCCCCTAGCTTCGATTGTTTTACTTTGATCTTCAAATTATTTAAAAAAAAAGATATCAAATTATAACATAATATAATATACATCAATTCAAAAAATAATATACATATATATGATATTTTCACAAATTAGTTACTTAGACGTGTTACATTGATCATAGTTGTGATTGACGACATCGTGACATAGCAGATTCCGGAAATTATCAAGAGTTAAAAACAAAAAAAAATTATAATATCGTGATTTGCTTTGCAAACGTGAATTTGTTTTAATTCTTTAAACTTGCAGGATCTTAAACATACATTACAATTCCACTCAATTGTGTATTTGGTTATAAACTATGCAAAACCTGGAACCATTATATTAATTGCAAATCAGAAATGGCATATACTTACAAGAGAAGGACATCATCAAAAGGGCGAGAAGAAGAGCCGTCCTAAAACAAAGTTTGGTCATAGCTAATGATGTTGCTATTTGAATGCTTGATTAGTTAGGTTTAGTGAGAATTAGTCTTGCGTTCATTTAAATATGGGATGAAGAACCTTTTTTGTACTTAATTAATATAATTATACATAATAAGTGCACTTTAAATATTATAGGGAAAAATAAGCCATATGTACAAAATTATCTTTTAATTGATAAATGCGACCAAAAAAAAATCTTTTCATTTAAAATTAAATTAAATTTACCATTAATTAATATTATTGTAGCAATTATCCCTTGAATACATACTATATACTATATACTATATATATTAGATTTGTCTATATGTTTGACTTCTTTATTCAATTATGACACTCATTCAATGACCCGAGATAGGGAGTCTGTATTCTCCAAATCTATTTACACTATTTACTCAAATTAGGACATAGCATCAAGAAATAATAAAAAAAAATATTTCTTTTTTTTGTTGCATATTTAGTAATTACTCTCAAGAACTCTGTAATTACAATTATTCATTTATTCCTATCTAAATAATTTAAAATGATTACTTTTGCAGTTTTGCTGATAATAATATTTGTCGACTTTCGTTTTCTCTTGGCTCATATCATCTTCAATTGGAGACAAACGTTGAAAATAAAACTCCTACTGAAATTTAAAACAAAAAAAAAAGCCTACTGAAATCAACAAAGAGAAAGGAAAAGGATCAACAATGAATGACAAATTTTAGAAAAAAATTTAATAAAAAGTGTATGCAAAAATAAAAATAAAGTAAATAGTCATGACAATCTATGACGTTTCATTTAAATCTTTATTAAAAATCCACAAATATGGGTAGAAATATTTGTTAGATTTTCGAAACTTTAGAATCTCTTAATTTATAAATCTAACAAACTACACACAAATCCAATTCACCTCTCCTAAGATACTAAAACGGCTTTCTTTCATTCTTGTCGACTACAATTATGTTAAATGACCAGATAAGTAATGCAAGCTGGAGAAACAAAATCATCAACATCATAACTCTACGTACGGTCTCTACCTGTCTACCACATAGAGTCAAACAATAAGTGCTAGAGTTTAATTAAAGTGGGATCAAAGAAAAGTAAATAAAGGAAAACCTACTGCGAAGATTTATGAACTCGTCTACAAGATTGGAGAAACATGCCACTCGGTAGGAGATTGTGCAATCGAGATCAACGTTGAACCATTCTTTTAGTCTTGATAATCAATCATCTAAGACAGAATACTATAAATTCCAACTCGTATACTAAACTTAAGTTTTCAAGTCTTGACAGCCAATCTACTTCGTTCCGTTAATATTAATTAGTATATGAATTTATGTGTGATTTATATTAAAAGTATAATTATTAATTATATATCGTGCAAACGTTAAAGATTTTAGATATAAAATTAATTATAAAATTAACTCTATAAATTTCAAAAATGAATAGCCCAAAACTGATTAAAAATTATATTATTATGCACATGCATGTCGGATATCTGGTCGAACATCTAAATTTAAATGGAAATCCAAGTAGCTTCAGATCGGAAATATGTATATTAAAACTGAGCAGGTCCGGGAAGATATCATCTATTTAATCTCCATCATGAGTTAACAATTTTTTTTAGAAATTGATCACTGATCACATAACTTGGGCGTATTTATTTACATTAAACTACATATAAGATAATGTGTCCAATATTATGATGTAGATCAAGCCCACTTAGCCATGACGGCCATGCCACCGGCACCAAGAAGAACGGCAGCGTAAGACTTTAATTGAAGCTTGATGCTCCGTTGCATCTTCTGGCCCATAAAATCAGCGGCCAAAAGGTCGACAAGAGCCATGTAGATGAGTAGTCCAGCCGAGGAAGCGTTGAGTAGCCCAACCGTTATGAGTGAGTCAGGGCTATTCTCTTTGTAAGTTTTAGACAATGCCATCCCTAAAGCCACTCCAAAAGGAGTGGTCACCGCGAAAAAGAAAGCCATCACTGCTTTTTTCACCCACCCATACTCTGCCTGCATGCGAGTGTTGTCAAGTCAAAATTCATTCAAGATCACACACAACTTTTGGAGGAATCAAACAAAAATTTTTTTTTCTGGAATGATACTTTATTTCTATTTTCAACCAATAAATGACTTTTTAAAGGAGGAAAATTCACCTGGAGGATGCAGCCACCGAGACCCATGCCTTCAAACATTTGGTGGAAACAAAGAGCAGCAATGAGACCTTTGATGGTGCAAGTGTTGTTAGTGGCTCCTACTGATAGTCCTATAACGATCGAGTGCACCACTATTCCTAGCTCCAATACCTGTTCCATTTTTTTTATATATAAAAGTGTCATTTTAAAAGCCGTAACATAAAAGTGCTATTTATGAAAAATGATATGATAAAAGTTATAATATTTAGAGTTTCACTCCTTAATTATTAAGTTGATTTATTTGTTTTCCGTTGTAGAAATGTCACTATTTTAACTCAAGAATATTTTTTTTGTAAAGTGGAAAAAAAAAAGAAAGAAAAAAGAGAGAGAGAGAGATTGAAGAAATACTAACGATCGCAATAACACGATATCGCAGAAGCTGTAAATAAGAACCAAGCTCCTTTTCATTATCTCCATGAAGATTGTGATTAAGACCATGACCATGACCATGACCATGACCATGATGGGACGCGTGAATTTGCACGTGTCCAGTCTCTTGGTCAGGAGTCTCAGCAGACACCACCTCTGCAGTGTCAGCTGGAACTCGGGCACGCATGTCCTTCCTGCCCGACCTGGTGAAAACACTGGTAGTGATAGAGTCAACCATGAGTGTGAAAACAGCAGAGATCATGGCGACAAAGCCAGTGAAAGGAAACTTGTGCCAGGGGTTATCGTCAAGACAAGGAGATGAAAGCATGTCGAAAGAATCAGGCAAGACATGCATGAAACCAGTGGAGAGTATGATTCCGGAGGCGAAGGATTTGATGATGAGGAAAAGAGATTTGTCGGGCTGGAAAGCGGAAACGGAACGGGCAAAGAACGGGAGGCAAACGCCGATAAGGCTTGTGATGAGGATTGTGAAGATTGCTATGAGTTTGAGATCTAATGCTTTGTTTTTGTCCGTGCATGCGTTGTCGGACTCGGGTTTGCAATCTTTTGAAGATTGAGAGAGAGCTCCGGGGAAGTGGGATAAGGAGAGGAGGAGGAGGACGGTGACGGCGGCAGAGAAAATGAGAGGAGATTTAGTCATCTTTCTCATTGTTTTAGTTTATGAGTTTGATAGAAAGAATATTTCGTGTTCCTCACTGTATATATACAGAATATCTCAATCAAAGTGAGTGTCGACATTACTAATAAAGTAATGTCGACATGGTTTTGTTTAGAAAATATATAATTTACACAACAAGGTCTAAACTAATATATGTTCAAAAAAAAGTCTAAACTAATTCTAGGCAACGGGCAAGGCATGTTCCCAACACATGCATATCAAATATTTGTATATGCCCTTACTTAAAAAAAAAAAGAAGAAGTATAAATCATGATATATAGTAGTTTTCGCCTCTTGTTGGTTACAGATAAAGATTTACATAGGGGAAAAGAAAAGAAAAACAAGGATTAAATAAAACAACATGTAATTATATGACGAAAGGGAAAATATGTTGTGGCATAAATAATAGCAAAACATTGGTTTCGTAATACCAAAAATATTTTAAAATAACAGAATAATTTTATATTTTAGCTAGAAATGGAAGCAAATTAATGTTATGGTGTCCCAAAACATGAATTTATAGTCAGTTGTAACTTCTCGACCGTCCTTCTTAAGGTCTTCATGTTAATGGCTCACGGTCTATTCCAATAATAATCTCTCCGTGTTTTATTTCCATGTACATGGTATTGTAAATCACTAAAAGGCCAATCATGCTTAAAATTGTTGGAGACTCGAACACGTTTATTATATAATTTTTCCAAGATAAACTATGTAATATTACTAATGCGTTTTGATGATATAAATGGTCAACTCAACTCTTTAAGTTTTCCACGTATAGTAACATATTTCTGGAAATCGAAAACTACATCACTTTTGTGGGATTTTTTAGCGATTTTGTTTTCTTGCTACTACCCTTTAAAATATAATTTCTAAAAATACCCCAAAACGTTTGACTAATTTTTGTGTTTTGATTGGTGACATAAAACGATAATATTTTTTTTTAAGGGAAACGAGAATGATAAACAATACCAAAATAATAAGATTAAGTGTAGTAAGAGATACAGATAAGAAAGGGAGGTACAAAAAGAGAGGAGTATTTCTTTCGGCATCATTAATTCAGTCATTACATATTTATGTTGTTAGTAACTATTGACACGATGAATATTTTATCATAGCGGTAAGACTTAAGACTATTTGCAGTGGTAAGAAACCTATTTTCAATTTCTTATCAAAACAATATTAATATTTTAATAAAATTAAGTTTTTAATTAAATTTTCATTTAAAAAAAAAATTGAACTAATAATAATCAAACACATAAATTAAAAGTCTCTCAATCATTATTTCAAAATCTCTCAAATAATAGATTCTTTTTATTTTCTCTCTTCACATTCTATTATTTTTCAATTCTTTATATTGAGAAAATTAATGAAAGAGTTCCACTGCAGATGCTCTAAGAGTTATCAGTAAAAAAAATATGTTTCAAACCCATGAGGACGGCCTGACGAGCCTTGATTCTCCAGTGGCTATTTAGGGCGTTTTCTGACGGTTTCTGAGCTTGCCGATATGGAGATTGTTTTCACAGAGATAATAATAAGCCTTAGGTGGATTTCTCTATCTTCAAGAGGGCTATCAACTCTTTGTTTGGGCTTTTGTCTCTCTTCAGTTCATCACTTAGAGTTCTTCACTTTAACTGAGGATATAACTTTTGTTTTGGGGTTTTTACCCCTTTTTAGTAGATAAATTTATTTATAAGTTTACTCTAAACGTTGTCTTAACGTTGTCTTAACGTTGTCTTTTCTCCTTCGCCGTTTAGGATTTGGGGTTTTATCTGAGGTTTTAACAGACGTGGGTCTTTTGGACTTAGAAGATGAGGTCGGATGGTTTGGCATGGATAAGCCGTAATGTTATTTCCAAAACCAAAAGTGTGAACATTTAAGAATATAATTGGTATATTGTTGACTTACTTTTGTTTTTGTTTTGGTCAAGTTGTATATTTTAAGAGGAACATATTAATTTTTATACCATATTAATCTATATAGGTTTAGAATCTATTAGTCAATCGTTTTCGGCATTTTTTTATTAATTTGAAGAATGATACGCATAATTTGATATGCCTTGTTGTTCAATTATTGTACTAGTTAATGTACTAAAGGATAAGTTACACTATATATATATATATATATATATATATATATATATATATTAAAACCTCTATAAATTAATAATGTTGAAATCATGATATTTTATTAATTTATCGTGGTATTAATTTATCTATAAATTAATAATTATTAGTTTATAAAGAAAAATTGTTTTCCGCATATAGTTTTCTAAAAATTTATTTGGAATAATGTTATATTTTAACAAAATTTATTATATAAAATTATGATTAAAAATCATAACTATCACAACAAAATAGTTTTTTACCATATTGGATTGTCTATATAAAAATATACATGTTCATAAGTTTAAAATTTATAAAAAAACTATGGCTACTATCAGTATTATTGATTATAAAATTGAAGCTAACACTACAATACATTTAAAAATATTTACATGTAAGAAAATCAATTATCACATCAAAAAATCATCATAAATTGTATATAGTAAAACAGAAATAAGAGCTACTGATATAATAATTAGAGAGATGGGAACCAATGAGATTTCAACTTTAACTAAAAACAAACATATTAGTCATATTTTAGAATATTAAATTTATATATATTTTTATAAATTTATATAATTATTAATTTATGTTTTTGTTGAGACTATATATTTATATAAGGGTTTCAAAAAAATTATTATCTTATTATCTTATCGAATTTGATGGATTTTTACATTGGCCCGACTTGAGACCAGCAAAATTTATTAATTTATAATGATTATTAATTTATCGAGTATTAATTTATAGATGTTTTACTATATATATATATATATCTGTTCTCAAGTACATGAACTCGTACGATACCTATAGTCTAATTTGACTTCTAAATTCTAACCCTTTATTTTTGAAGTTGGTAATCACGTGGATAAGGAATGTTTCAACAAAAAGCATTCAGGAAGTAATTCTACAGGTTAATGGATTAATGGAGACAAATTTAGAAGAGATTTTTAATATGATAAAAATAGTACTATTTAACATGTATACAAACAGAAAATATTATCTATTGATTATTGATATAATAGTTTTCATAATTTATAATAGAATAATATATTAATGTTAAAAAACCTAAGCTGTAACAATAAGTATTTATCATGAGATTTTGCATTTATGAGTTTATTGACAACATTCTTTTTCTTGAGCTATAATCTCCCTTAGACTATCATTGACTCAGATATCTAAAGGAGTTTCTTAACAATATTTTTCATTAAATATAATTAAATTAATAAACTTTAATTAAGAAATGTTTCTTATTTAAGTACCTTAAAAAGAATTTTTGTTGCCACATCAGTTTTTAATTTAATATTAAAAAAAGACATAAGAAATTCATAAAGATTTCTGGATTAATGATGTTCTTAGTAACTGGAGTTTATGCATTCATGATTTTCTTCTCCACTTTACATGTGTTTTTGTTTTCTAAATTCTCCATGCCTATTTGCTTTAGGCAAAATATAATCGATTCGTTGAAAAATAATAGAAAACATGAAATTTTTATAAATTCCAACGCCGAGAAACGCTTAAACATATAATGTTGACGCAAAAAAGAAGAAAAAGACATTCCAACGTAAAGATAAAATAATAAACTGTTTTTGAGCTGTGGTTGGTGCAAACAAGGACTTAAAAGTAAAACTGTGTTTTTTTTTTTTTTGTGTCACCAAGTAAAACTGTGTTTTTAAGTCCGTGTAATAATTTAATTCAATTTGGGGTTTAAATAGGCTGCGTCCAAAATTATTGGATTAGGGAAGACATTACGATAACATAATAAATTAAAAATGGAATGATTGCATCGATAACCAAGGAAATTCAAATTATTCGGGTTGGCAAAAAGATCAGAAAAAAAAAATAAAATCCAATTGCTTTATATTTTGATTACTCATGCATTATTGCATTAGCATCTTGACATATGGCGGCAATATGGTATTTCTTTTAAATTCCCACCGGACGTTGACATATGAAAGTACTTCATTGACTTTACTTCCACCTGCTCTGTTAATTAACGTTTCTAAGAGAATACGATAATCTTTTATAATCAAAGTTATGATGCTAATGTGAGTTAATATTGAAGAGTTCGAAACCGTGCACCAACCATTAATTTAAACTAGTGGAGTACTATCCAAACACTATCAGCAAAATTGCAATTGAATATGTGACTGATTCAGTCAAGTGGCTTTGCATGGAATTATAGTACTTGCTTTAGAAACGTACACACTATGCTCAGTACATATACTTGAGTTTTGGGGCTTTTAGGTCAAAATAAACAACAATACATTATGAGATATTGTCGAAAGAATCATATAAAACAAAAAGTCAATGGAACTATCGGGAGACAAGATGAGATTATAATTAAGGTATGAGTTCAAAATAAAAATACATTAAAATTAGCAATTTTTGAAATAGATTAATGTGTTTCTGAGCAGATTAATGTGTAGATCTCTTCAGTGAACGAATATAGACATTAAGAGAGTTGAGATGCAAGAAGTAGGAATCCATTTCTATAATAAGCATGTGAATATTCGTTCACTGAAGAGATCTACACATTAATCTGCTCAGAAACAGAGGAATGAAATAATCTGCTCGAAAGCGTACCTTCTTCTGCTCCCGTGATCGAACTCAGTCGGGAAAACTGCTACAAAAATGGAGAAAAGAGGATTTATTTACGAATTTCAGATTCTAGGAATGTTAAGCAGAAACAAAATAGAATATATAAAAAAAAAAAAAAAAATCAGCTTCGTCCCACACTTGCTCTTTCATTCCTAGACACAGAAATCAAACCGAACTGGTCTCGACGCAATTAAAAACTTTGTAACCGAAAAAAAACAGACCAAATTACTTAATCTTTTGCAAACCGGAACTGGTATTTATTTTTATTCGATTACTTTATACCGACTTTGGGCCTTAAGTTAACGCAATCTCTACATATTATCAGAGTCTCTGCGAATGATTAGCACTCGTGTATCTCTCTCCCTCACGATCATGAAAAGAGGAGTAAAAATTCTGGATTCCTTCCCCATTGATCTCTTTCTCGAGATATTCTCGAGATTACCTTCAAAGTCCATCGCTAGGTTTCGTTGTTTGTGGAAGCTATGGGGTTCCATGCTTCATCGTCAATATTTCACCGAGTTGTTCTTGACGAGGTCATGGGCTCGTCCACGTCTCTTATTCATCCTCGAAGGACATCACGAGTGTAGCGTCTTCTCGTCGCCTCAGCTTCAGAATCCATACGGGAAGTCGTCGTCCTCTCTTGTAGTATCTGCTGGTTTTCATATGAAGTCTGCATACTTACGTGGCTTTACCTCTGGCTTGATCTATTGTTATGATTTAACGGAGCGTGGCTATAAAGTACTTAACCCTAGCACAGGACGTTGTGCCAGCATGCCTAAACTGACAAGTGGTTTGACAAGCTATTTAGGGTTTGATCCCATTGATAAGCAATTCAAGCTATTGTCCATATCTTATTGTTCATGGTCTGATGAAATTGATGATCATAGTATTCTGACGTTAGGAACTGGAGAAATGACCTGGAGGAAGATCCAGTGTCCTTTAACCTATGATCTTAACAGCCGAGAGATATGCATCAATGGGGTTTTGTATTACTTAGCTCATAAAACGTCTAAAGAAATTGAAGAAATTCCTTTGATAGTTTGCTTTGATGTTAGGACTGAGAAATTCAAATTCATTGAGTTAGAAGACTGGTTTTTTTATGATGCTACATTGATAAACTATTAGGGTAAATTAGGTGGGATTAGAGAGATTTATGATAAAGATAGCAGAAACTCAGATTAAAAGTCCAAGACAGTCTCAGAAAACAGAAAATGGCTTTGGTACGTAAAAGGTTTCTTGGTGGCTCTGTATCAGAAACGAGGAAAGAAACTTAATTAAGCACCAAACGAGTTTCTTGTAGGGTACGTCTAGAAGAAGAAGTAGAAATATATTGTGCTAGTTCAAGGTTCTTTTAGAAAAAAATAAGAGAAAGAGCGGTATACAATTTTATACTCCAAGAACAAAATGCTTATGGACAATCTTTAGCAAGAGAGGAGAGTTTTCCAAGGACAGCTCAAAAGTCGATTTTCCATCTCTCTTTTTTTCTCTCGCGTTCTCTTTGGTCGAACATATCTTAACAGAAATTTATATATATGACCCGGCCAAAATTTCTTACGTTCTCCGTTTAAAAGCTCAAACTTTGTTTTATGACAAAACAAAACCATAGTCTGTTTCATTTATAGTCCCAACCAATTCATTTCGTAATATACAGATGAAATCTTCTGTAGCTCTTTATAAAGACTTTCCTTAGGTACACAACAACAAATCCTCTATTAAAATAAAGTGAAATTAAATTTTTGCCGTAGAAGTTAATCTCAGCACTTTCTCTTGAGATTCACCAGTCATTGGATCGGTTGTGTTTTGGCTCTCCAAGAGCATATACTGAGACATAATCGCCATGATTTCTGAATCTATATAAGAATGCATTTTGGTTTTGACACAAAAAAATCATAACTATTATTAGAGAGATTAATTATGATGACGAGTTGACGACAATGAATTTGGAGATTCGTTAAGAGAAGAGAAAGTGTGATCAATCATACCCTAATGATTAAAATAATATTTCTACAAGTATCATCTTAACGTGTGATTTCACACTTTCTTATATGAATAAAGAAAATAAGCTAAATGCTTCTAAAGATGTCCACATAGGATTAAAAAGGACAATTCTATTGGTCCACATCAACAATCAAAAATAAGGAAAGTTTACAAATTTTTAATATTATTACTAAATAAATAAATTAAGAAAGTTACAAATTCTAATTATTGCTGAATAAAAAAATTCTATATAAATTTTTTATTGGTCCACCTCGACATTGAAAATTAATTTTTTTTCAAATTCCATTATTATTTTTAAAAATTATTAAAGATAAAGAAATTATATATAATTTTTTTATTAATAATAAAAAACTAAAATAAATAATATTAAAATAGAAAATTTTAAATTTAAATTAGATGTATATACACATATTTAGAGATTCTTACATTAGTATCCAAATTTTTATCACATAACTATAATAATTTTTAAGTTTTTTTTTTGTGTGTACAACCATTTCAAATCAAAAAAAAAAGTTAGGTTTCACAAAAAAATGAGTCATTATAACGTAAAATAACCAACTTGGCTAAACTATAAGTTTAACTATTAGCTAAATTACAAAGAATATAATGAAACGAGATATAAACAAAGCCACTACAAGCTGCTTTAATATCGAAAAAGAGACCGAAAAATAAGCTTAACCACCGAATTTGAGAAGCATGATAAATTTCAAACAATCCGAGAAACATGTCAAGTGATTGATACTCGACACTTTTAAAAAACAAAGCACTAAAAATAGAGAAAGAGGTTCCGTCATTAAGACAAAGGAGATTAAGGTATTTGAGGAAGGTTCCGTCATCAAAACTGGATTTTCAGCCATTATCTTCATATATTTCTTCACAGGCACTTTGGCTTCACAACACGCTTTGTGGTCTCTCTATTTCTCCGATCAGTAAATATTATGGGCTGGTGACTTGATATTCTTCTTCAAAGCATAAAATTTGTGAGCTATTTTTCATTGTGTATGTGATAAGATCAGAACTCTAAACTCCCTTAATGCTGTCCTTTATTGATAATCCAAACCGTTTACAGATGCTTTACAAGTACCCTCACGATCGCAGATGAAGGTGTCATGTCGACTCTTTCGAACAACATACACGATCAAGTTGTATATATTTGACCAAATAATCTCTAGATCATGTTCCTTTTTGGCAATTAGCTAAAACAGAGCGTAATGGCAATATGATGAATTCATATTGATATTTGTCCCCATTGATTTAACATCCTCTTATATACTAATAAAAGTTGAAGCTAAATGTATATAAGGATATCCACTTCCACTTAGGATTAAAAAAGGCAATTCTATTGGTTCACATCAACAATCAAATTTAAGAAAATTTCCAAAAATAATATTATTATTAATAAAATATATAAGAATAAGAAAATTATATCTAAAATTTCCATTAATAACAAAAACTAAAATAAGATTAAATTAAAAATATTTATTAAACAAAATACCAATTACTTAGATATAAAATAATATGCAATCAATTAAGGAATAAAAGTAAATTTTAACATTGTTTTTCGGTTTTCTTATAAAACTGATATAAAAAAATGAAAGAAGATGATGAAATTTTTTTTCTTTCATTAGAGAAAAAACATGTACTAATTTTTTTGTATCAATACTATTTTTATTAAATAGTAATTGATTATCTTGTTATAGTTTTTAGTTATCTTTTTAGTAGACTAACATACAAGCATTAGAAAAATTTAAAAATATTTATACGAATTGAAATTATAAAAAAAAAATTAAAAATATTATTTACTAAAACATAAAAACACACATATATTTATAATATAAAAATATTTATACGAGTTGAAATTATAAAACAAATTAAGTAATATTTACTACAACATAAAAACACACATATATTAATATGTGGAGATAATTAGTGGTTTAAACTTAATTTAAGGGTGATAATAAGTTTGTGAAATCTATTTTAATATTTAACAAAAATTAATTTAATATTTTATTGAGGGTAATTCAAAGTTATCAAGTAAAATTTGTACTCATTAAACAGTAAAATTTGGAGAATGTTTTTGTCTTTCTTAGTTGTCAATAAAAATCAATTATCACACATAATATGTTATTCGACAAAAACTTGGTATTTACCAATTTAAGATAAGATTGACAAAAACTTATATTGAATTCATCAATCTTTGTAATTTAAAATTAGTTTCAAATTTTATTTTATATTTATTTACTGTTTAAAATATGTGAAAGCAAAAATTATCTTTATTAGTTTTTTTAATTTAGAATAAATCAGAAATTTGTATCGACTAAATTAGCTAAGAAAAAAGAATAATTTTTAACTTTATTATTTTTTTCATAAAAAGCATACATAACAAGGATGCAACTGATGAAAAAAACTTATTTTCTTGACTAATAAGTGATGTATAGTATTTTATCTTTGTGTTAATACTAATTAAAAACTATTTAATTAGTTTGTTATATTTTAGATTGGTTTTGGAATGTTAAGCGTTCGATAAAATAATATGTTTTTAAAATGACACATATATAAATTCAAACAAAATCATTAAAACCTCAAAATCTATATATAAATTTTGAAATTAAAACTGAAATTATTTTTGATAAATTTTATTACAACAAATTAACATCTAAATCAATATAACTTCTTAAAAATATGATTTTTTATCAATATGATACAAAATCTAGCGTCTATAAAAGCAGTAAAAAGGATTATGTCCTCATTAATTTTTGTGCATGTACAACCCAAAATCCACTAGACCTTTCATTAATTTCCAATGAAACGTTTCTTTGCTGCCTTTCTGGATCTCCATTGACAAAAGAAAATTCTCTTCGTGCGCTGCACTCATCATTCGTGCTAGTCCATAGCTCTCATAATAATTACTGTCATTCAAGAATCTGTGTGTGCCCTTTGATGTTTAAACAATACATAAAGGTTTTCGTTTACAATCTTAAGCAACCTATATAAAGTCAAATGAATACATGATTCAAGATATGTTAAACCTGAAGATCAAACTAAGAAGATGTTTGTAGCCATTTTTCATTTCTAATCGAGATCTGTGGAACAAACATAAATAGAGTGTGACATGACTTCTGGACCTCTTGATGCAACAAAAATTTGGAAAGTTTTATTCACTTTGTTTCATCTAAACCTTTTTAAAGAAACTCATAAGCTCTGTTTAGCTTGCTGTCTCTCACCCTTAACAACTCCAATATTAATGTACCTTTATAAGGAAGACTAATATAAACTCACAAAGCAAAAATCGAAAAGTAGAGGGAAAAAGAAACATAAACCTTCAAAACGAGGACGAGTTTTCTATAAAGTAAGCTTGAAAAATTGGATTGGGGAAACCTTACCAGACAAATCTCTAGGATGTCTTGAGAAGATATCATGATTCATGACACATTCTTCAGGTACAGTAGGAGGCTAGGAGCTTTCATTGGCTCTCCAAAAACGTTTTCTCGTCAAAAAGAAAATTATTTGAAATTTCACAATCTGTTGGATGAAACTATATTTTAATTCCATTATTAATCTATCATCAATCTCTATAGAAACATGAATAATACAGGCAGAGCTCTGTATTATCAACGGCCAAGAATTTCTTAGCAGATAAGAATTACATCTCACTCTAACGCAGTATTGATCTCTAGTGTAAAGCTTTGGCTACACCTTCTTTGAGTCCTTAAAGGCCAACGGTTTCTTTCTTTCGAAGGCTTTGATGTTTGATCTCATGTCGCCACCTTCGATTATGGGCCTTAGATTAATCTCAGATTTTGGGCCTTATCTTAGCGCCGATTTATATATATATATATATATATATATATTATATGATTTGTACTCGTATTTGTCTCTCCCTCAGATCAGCCAATACAGCACGATCATGATGAAAAGAGGAGTAAAAATTCTAGATTCCTTCCCCATTGATCTCTTTCTGGAGATATTCTCGAGATTGCCTGCAAAGTCTATCGCTAGGTTTCGTTGTTTGTCCAAGCTATGGGATTCCATGTCTCATCGTCAATATTTGACAGAGTTGTTCTTGACAAGGTCATGGGCTCGTCCACGTCTCTTATTCATCCTCGAACGAGAAGGTGAGTGGAGCT